CCCTTGGCGTCAGGCTCCTCAGCCTCACCTCTTGGCTCGCACGGGTGACACGGGTAGAACTAGTTGGGAGTAAGCGTTCCGCCAAGTATCGAGGTCCTAAACCGTTTAGGGCTTTATATGTAAGCATTAACACTTTGAAGTCAATGCGGAAACGGATGGGCAGCCAGTGCAGCATGGCCAGAGTAGGAGAGATATGCTGATATTTTCTCACTCCACCAAGAAGTCTGGCTGCCGCATTCTGCACCACTTGAAGTTTCTGCATCAACCTCAAAGGTAGTCCCACGTAGAGCGCGTTACAGTGATCTAATCTCGAGATTACAAGCACATGTACCAAGGTGGTGAGCGCCCCAACACCAAGATAGGGACACAGCTGGGCTATCCGCCAAATATGAAAAAAGGCGGTACGGACCATCAACGCCACCTGAGTCTCCATGGTGAACGCCAAGATGTTATCCACCATTGTACAATGTAATAAAATTAGAGTGGATAACATAATTAAAAGATAATATTTAAAAATTGTGAAAAATGAATAAGGATGCATCTTACCTCAATTAACAGGAAATATTAAGGCAGTGATCAAAAAGTATTCAAAAATTTTAAAAAATGTCATTCAAAATGGAAAACACAGAAATGGAAAACACAAGTAGTGCTAGAAAATCCAGTCAAAGCAGTAATGCATAATAATATTTCTAAAAATCACACAGAATAGCTGGTTACTGAGGAAAGGCTTGCCTGAAGGAGAAAGGTCTTTGCCTGCTTGCGGAAAGATAGCAAAGATGGGGCCAGTCTGGCCTCCTGTGTATGGAAGGTGAGAGGGAAGAAGCATTCAAATAAAAGTCTGGAAGTAACTGCAGATAAAACAAAGGAAGGGATCGTTAAACAACATTGAGATCTTTCCCTGCCTCCCACGTGGGTTTTTTTCAGTTCTTAACTCAAATCTAAGTACTTAAGTCAAGTCAATATTTTGCTATGAGAGCGGTTCTTAAGTCAAAATGTTCTTAACTCAAGCCGTTCTTAAGTCAAGACTCCACTGTAGATAAGGGAAGCATTCCAATAAAAGTCTGGAAGTAACTGCAGATAAAACAAAGGAAGGGATCGTTAAACAACATTGAGATGAGTTACAGTTTAAATATTTCAGAGGCTTAGAGGGCACGTGTCAGTTAAATAAACTAAGATTTTAGCAAAAGAGTTACCCCAAAAGCATTACTATACATAAATTTAGCTTTTGCTAATAGCTAGGCCAGAAGTTGGATTTGATGCATGAGCATTAGATTAGGAAAACCTATAGACAAGATGGGACATCACTTAAAGATATGGGGTACATGGGGGAAGAAACATAGAATAGTAGTACATTTAAAAGCTCTTGGAGATCGTAAAAGTAGTGTGGCAGTAAGAAATTAAGATGGGACAGCTGTTGGTGTGGGAACTATGGACAGATCTACCATGGCTTGTTGTTTGGGAACAGGCAGAGTCTGGGGTGAGGGATCTCTGGCAGATGAAAAGGAGCAAGAAGATTTTGTGTGAGAGTTTGGAGTTATTTAATTTTTTGTTTGGAGGCTTTGGAAGGCTTTTCATTATGTAGTTAATAAATTAAGAATATAAACTTTAAATGTGAAGGGCCTGGTGAGTGTTATAAAGAGGAGAAGAACATAGGTGTTATTGAATACAGATAAAGCAGATGCAGTCCTTTTTTTACAAGAAACTCATCAAGCAAAAAAAGAGAAAGAGGTTAATGACAGTAAATTAAATTGGACTGATATTTATGAAAAGCATGTGGATGTTTAAGATCAAGAGGGGTTGTAATTATTATTTAATTTATTTATACTGAAATGTTGGCAATTGGTTTTTAAAGAAATAAATAAAATAAGCAATCTAAAATTACTTGTATGTCCTAAAATAGCACTTTTATCAATATTGGAAAAGGAGGCAAGTAATTGGGCCACTACATAACCAGTTTCAAAATTTCTAACAGCAGTGATTGTCAGGGTTCAGTAGAAAAGGCACCAGGACCCAGCCCAGAGCAAGGCTACAGGAACAAGTTAAAAACCAAAGAAATAAATAAAACAAGCAATCTAAAATTACTTGTATGCCCTAAAATAGCACTTTTATCAATATTGGAAAAGGAGGCAAGTAATTGGGCCACTACATAACCAGTTTCAAAATTTCTAACAGCAGTGATTGTCAGGGTTCAGTAGAAAAGGCACCAGGACCCAGCCCAGAGCAAGGCTACAGGAACAAGTTAAAAACAACCCCACAGCCCAAGCAGAGACCAACCAGCTAAGGTTTTGAGTCCAAACAGCAGCCAAGTAGAAGGACTGGACCCTGCTGCCTTGATACTGACTGACTCCTGGACTGTCTGACCACAATTCACATCATCCTTCTGAATGAATGATAGGGAAGTGTGGAATATAGCAATTAATGATAAATTAATGATTGTTCTGTTGCACAGTGCCCACAAGGCAGGGTTTATAGCCTCTCTCTTGACTCTTAGCTGTTTGTTGGTGAAGGGTTCTGGAGCCGGTTAGACTTATGCATCATTAAAAACTCCTGGACTGTCTGGCCACAATTCACATCATCCTTCTGAATGAATGACAGGGAAGTGTGGAATATAGCAATTAATGATAAATTAATGATTGTTCTGTTGCACAGTGCCCATAAGGCAGGGTTTATAGCCTCTCTCTTGACTCTTAGCTGTTTGTTGGTGAAGGGTTCTGGAGCCGGTTAGACTTATGCATCATTAAAAGCAATGACAAAAAAAAGGGCCAGGTGTGCCCCCTGGTCTCCCAAAGTTTCCCCGGATCCACACACCACGTATTTTTGGAGTCCTCTTGACCCTTTAAACAAGATCAGTTTAGAAGTACTTGATTTTCTCTTTAGGAAAGAACTAGATGTAGGCCTAAGGGATCCATGTACTGAAAAATTCACCAAGTTTACTTCCCCTTCATTTTACACTCTGCATATTTCAGTTGAACTTTTCTGTGGTTCATTGGTTGTAGCAGATCATAATTCCTCTTTTGATTCTGGAAAACTTCAGGATTGGAGGAGACTCCTGGTCTTTGTATTCCAGCTCAAAAATGGAAAAGAAGGGGAAAAATATCATTGTTTAATCCTCATTCAGAATTCTGCTCCTCTTCCCCCCTTCCCTTTTTGAGCTGCTGCCAAGATTAATGTTTAATCTTCTCGCTTTGAAGAGCTCTGTTGCTTCCCTCAAGGCTTTGGTTGCCTGTTAAAAGGCTTATCACTTGGTGTTGTGTTGCTTTTATAACAGGATAATCTAAGTATTTACATTTTTAAACTGTTCCTTGGATGCTAATATTTATATTTTGGAAGGGCTCAATAACCGAAATGCATCTCCACTAGTAAATGGAAGAGTGTTGACACAAC